AGAAGCTCCTAGTCTGGGGGAACACTGAAGAGAAGAAGGCCGACAGAGAGAAGAAGCCTTCCCCTGGAGCTGATGCCCTGAATTTGGATTTTTAGCCTACTTTGACTATGAGGAAATAAACTTCTCTTCGTTAAAACCATCCACTTGTGGTATTTCTGTTACAGCAGCACTAGATGACTAAGACATATAGCTAGGCTGACCCGGCATCCCGGTTTGCCCACACAGTTCCAGTCCACACTTTTTGACGCCGTGTGAATGTAGTAGTGCCTTTTTTCCGTTTCAGAAGCATCCTGGTTTGGGTGATACATTTTCTGGTCACTCTATAAGTATAGATCTTAATGCTTGACCTTAAAGAATCTACAGCCTCATGGAGACAAAAGGGACACATATGAGAAAATTATCAAGCAGTTATAGTTAAGTGCTAAATGTTTTATAGCATTTAGATGCTGTTAAACATCTTACAATGCATGGGACTTCTCCCCCCACCCCACCCCCCAAAAAAACTGTTGGATATTTTGCCATCTGGAATTTCAGGATGATTTGGAAGCCTTCAGGATTTCATATTCAAAGTGTATGGTCCCTGGACCAGCAGCATTACCTTGTCAGAAATGCAAATTATTGGGCCCCATCCCAGACCTACTGAATCAGAAACTCTGGGGATGGGGCCCACAATCTGTTTTAACAAGCCCCAAACCATATCATTTGTTACACACACATACTCTTAGTGACATCCCAGGTATAGGAACAGCAGAGTTAATCCTATAAATACTGCTCAGTGCAGAGAGGTGCTCATTAGTTGCTGCCCTTTGTTGCCCCAGCTTCAAAGCAATGACAACACATGGGTTGAGATGATGTTTGGTGAATGTTAGTTTGGCGGGAATAGTTCTTTGGTGCTAATGATGTATTTTCACATGAGTTTTTCTAAAAGTACCGTATTTTATTTTTCAACTTTCTGCTTGGCTTTTGGCAGGAGCTGAGAAAAAGCCTGGAGCTTAGCGTAAATCTACAAAGGAAGCAAAAGGATTGTTCCGGTGATGAGTATGACTCCATTGAAGAGGATGTACTCTCTGAGCCCGAACCTGAGGGCCAGGCGCTGGTGGACCATCCCAGAGATGACCCCCTTCTTTCAAGTGGTGACTCAGTGCAGAAGGACCTTTGCAAGGACCAGGAGACAGAAGGATGCCCTTCCCAGGGCCTAGACACCCTGGTGGTGCTGGGATTTAACACAACTTCCAAAAGTGAGCTCTGTCTTACGTGATTTTTTTTTTGCCTTTGGTGTCTCTGGATCTAATAGTGGGACTTAAACTTCCGGCAGTATTGTGAATTCAGCTCTGGATAGAGTAGTCTCATAGGCCAGGGAGGTATGTTGGTCAGGTCTCTGTTGACTCCAAGAGGCAGATGCCTAGTGCAAAGTGGCTTAGGCAAAAGGTTCTAGTCATTGGCTCAGATAACTGAAGAGCCCAGGGCTGTGGCTCTGATTTCATGCCCAGCTGGCAGAGTCACCTATTCTCAGGTTCCAGGGATCAGGATGTAGATATCTTTTGGGAGATGTGGACCAGACTCAGAGCCCTGGTGGTGCAGTGGTTAAGAGCTTGGCTGCTAACCAAAAGATTGACAGTTTGAATCCACCAGCCACTCCTTGGAAACTCTATGGTGCAGTTCTCCTTTGTCCTGTAGGGTCGCTGTGAGTCAGAATTGACTCAACAGCAATGTGTTTGGTTTTTTTTTTATTAGACCAGACTCTGTCCTCAGGGTTCGTTCCTGCCCACCCAGCATCCTTCCCCCGACTTCAGATAACCACACCTTGATTCTCCTTTGGAAAAACCTTTGCTGCACTGTTGGTCTGTGTGGTTTGACCGTTGGCTGGGCCTGGCTAGTCAGAGTCACAATGATTATTTGGTGCTGGCACATGACCCAGTCTGGGTTCAAGAGTCAGACCTGGGACATTTAGGGAGGAAAAATTTCCCATTGGGGTTCCCCTCCTCTCCCTTCCCCTTTCCTCCCCTCCTTTCTTTGTGCTGTACCATTTTTAGGTAGCTTTTCCACATACAGAGGCAGAATTGCCTTCATCCAAGCCACCAGTGGAGATTTTTCTTTTCTTTCTGTGTGAGACGTACTGGGAACACATCATTTCAGTGGATTATGTTTTCTCTAAGGGGTGGGGGTGGGGAGTGAGGGCTGTGAGGAGGTTGACCAAGCCTCCACCCTGGTAACAGCAGACACTACCATCATTTCTGGGTGCGAAGGACCAGACCACAGAAGGAGAGCAATTTGACGCCGGATGCAGTTTGAGACTGATACCAGGGCATAAAGTGAAAAGAGAGAACTTCAGTTTCTTGATGTTTTACGTTTTTTAGCAGTTAGCCTGCTGGTGGGCCCCGTGTGTCACTGTGATGTCTGCCGTGGGCAGGGGCTGTGGAGAGCGAACACAGAGATGCGTTGGTGCATGCCTCCTGCGGCCACGCTGCTGTGTTCCCTTCGATCTGCAGCAGGAGGCAGGCTGTCACTGAGGGGAGCATGCTGGAGGTCCAGGGGCCTGTTGTAAGGTCTCCCTGGATTGAAGTTCCAAACTAATCCTGAGCATTTACTCAAGAGCAGTCAGCAGTCACCTAAAAAGATGTGTTTGGTTCTGGAACATTCATTCATTCATTCAGTGGGCACATATCATGTCCCAGGTGTTGTGCTAGCGCAGGAGACTCAGAGAGGAACAAGACAGGCCCAGTCCCTTCTCCTATGGCACTCACATTCCACCAGGGAAAACAGACACTAAGCATGTAAACATATAAATAAGAACAATGGCCAACATTTATTGGGTTTTTATTGACATGTCCCAAGTACTATTCGAAGAGCTTTACACATAGTCCCTCATTTAATCTTCACTGTAACCCCAAGGGAAGAATTGTCATTGCCTTTGTTTTACTGATGGGGAAATTGAGGCACAGAGAGATCAAGTAACTTGTCCAAGGTCACACAGCTAGGAGGAGGCAGAGCTGGGATTGAAATCCTGGGAGTCAGAACCCAGAAGAGCTCTTAACCAGCAGGCTAAGTAAATAAACCAGGCAGAGGTAGAAAGCAATAGTTAGGCTTTGGGGAGCCAAAAAGTAACCCTCCCCTCCTAAATTGTGAAGTAAATGAGAGATGAATGTGTGACTCTGATAGAAGGAGAGCAGATTATCACCTTTACAACTAATAAGAGCTGAGTTGGTAGCCCTCCAGTACTGCCTCTCTGAAGTAGACAGCCCCCTAGATGTTGACAGAGCCAGGCCCAGTGCTGGCAGCATGGTGGCAAGGGGCTGTGTACCCTCACGGCAACCCTGCCTGGGCTGAACCTTGATTGATTCTTACCCCCCTACTCTCTCCAGTCCGATATGTCCTCTTTGTGAGTGGGGGGCACAAAGAAAGGCAGAAGTCGTTTTTCCATTATCTGGAAAAAGAAGAGCCGGGATCCTGGGTCAGGTTAGGACTCAGGGAGGAGGAGAGAATGGCACCCTCTTAAGAGTTGTGAAGATTATAAAACAGAACACTGCAGTGTGGGGACTGGGGGTTGGGGCCATTTTAACTGGAGTAGTCAGAGAAGCCTTCTCAGAGGAGGTGGCGTTTGAGCTGGGACAGGCATGATGAGGAGAAACCAGCCATGGGAACAGCATTCCAGGCAGAGGGCACAGCGAGCACAAGGGGCTTAAAGAGAGAAAGAGCTTGGAATGTCCAAGGACAGAAAAAGGGTCAGTGGGGCTGGAGCTGAGTGAGCAAGGGGGTGTGTGGTGTAAGATGGGGCCAGCGGTGATCTCAGGCCACTTTCCATGCAGATCTGAGGGTTCTTGGATTGTACCAAGAGTCTGGGTCCTGTGGTGCCCTAGAAAATATCTTTATGTAGATTTAAAATTTTTTTAAAATTTATTTTGTTGTTGTTGAGACTATGCACAGCAAAACATACACCAATTCAACAGTTTCTATATGTACTTCACATAGACTTTTGATGGCTAAGGCAGACCTCTTTGTCAGAAGTTTCTGAAGGGCTAGTTTATGGAGAGGAGGCAGTCGGTGTAGACAGGGAATGATGTGGGTAAAGGCAGGGCTCTGAGCCAGGCAGGCCTGGTCAAATCCTGTCCATCACTTCCTAGCTCTGTGACCTTGGACAAGTGACTTGAACCTCAGAGCCTTCCCCTGTAATAGGATGTACTCACTTTCTATTGCTTATGTAACAAATTACTACAAACTTGGTGACTTAATACAATGCGTATTTTTTGTCTCATGATTCTGGAGGTCAGAAGTCTGATGTGGGTCTCACTGGGCTAAAATCAAGGTGTCAGCAGGGCTCCATTCCTTTAGGGGGACCTGTTCCTCAGGAGGCTGTAGGGGAGAATCCGTTTCCTTACCTTTTCCAGCTTCTTGAGGCTGCCCACATTCGCTGGCTTGTGGCTCCATCCTTCATCCTCGATGCCAGCAATGCTCCATCTCTCTGATCGTTTTTTCATAACTACACTTTCCACATTCTTCTTCTGCCTCCCTGTTCTATTTTTAAGGGCCCTTGTGATTACATTGGGCCCACTCAGGTAACCCAGGATAATCTCCTTATTTTAAGGTCAGTTGTTTAGCAATGTTAATCCTCCTTTGCCTTGTAACCTAGTATATTCACAGGTTTCAGAGATTAGGACATGACATCTTTGAGGGGGCCATTGTTCTGCCTACGACCTTGGAGTATGTATCTACCTCCTAGGATAGCTAAGGGAGTAAATGAGCCAGTCTGTGCCCAGGACGCAGCACAGTGCTGGGCACACAGGAGGCTGAACCAAATACAGGTTGGCTCTTGCTCTCACCATCCTCAGCATCATTTTCAGCACCTGGGTAGCCAATCTCCTGGTCATCTACCCCCTCCATTCTTTGTCTTGTCCCATTGGACATAGTCATTCCTCTCTCATATCATAGTTTGCCCTTGGGCCCCGGGTGTCAGGCCAGCCTGGGAGCAAGTACTTCAGAAAGTGGTAGAGAAACTTGAGTCCTTCACAAAGCCAAGAGGGGTGGCAGAGAGGTTAGTGCAAGTCAGACAGACAGCACACATGTCCTGGACATTAACGCTGAGCTCCCAAGAATCCCTAATTCCAGGGCGCCCCTTCCTTTGGGACACCACGAGCCCCCAGGATCTTCTAAGCTGGGATTCACTTTCCATTGCACTTTAGGTTGACAGTTCCTGGGTTTCTTCCTTCCCAGCCCAGGAGGACCCCAGGCACAGGGGCTCTATGACTCAAAGATGGCCTTGGTTACATAATCATTTTATGTACCATGAGGAAAGAAGAAATGCTGCCAGTTAGACCTGACAGGCCATCAGTTGTAAGACTTGTCCCTATTTAGAAGTGTTAGAATTAGAAAACCGGTGCATCCTGGAATATTTCATTTATTTTCCAAAAAGTATTGTGTTTAGCACACAATGACTCTCAGCAAACTTGTTTTGTTTGGCCAAACTAGCATGGAGCCTGGCACAGAGTAGGGGGTCCAATAAATATTTGTTGAATGAATAAGTGAATGAACAAATAAACAAACTCCTGAGCAGAATGTCCCAGCTCTGCTTGTGTTCAGGGTCTTGACATATAAACATTGTTTTCCTACAGGTAATAAAATGGAAAGGCATTTGTCTGCTAAACGGAAGGACGATGGTGAAGTTTTCATTCCCAGCAAACCTGAGCCAACCCTGAATCACCAGCCCCCAGCCATACTCCCAGACCAGGAGAGGCCCTGCTCCAGTAAGTTCCGGGTGCCCCTGAGCAGGGCTGGGTGGGGTCACCTCAGTGGGAGGTTATGATGGAGGAGTCCTCACTTCAGTACCCACCCCACTGAGGGCTGAGCTGACTTTTAGCCACTTTCTGGTTCTACAACAAATAATGTGGTTATACTTGAAAATTACTTTTATTTTTGTCTTTACTTAAAATTAATTTGCTTAATTTATTTGGGTAATAATACATGCAAATGATACAAAATTCTAAAGGTACGAAAGAGTTTATGGTGAATAGTCAATATCCCTGTCTTCTAATGATATGAGAAGTTATGTGTATTGAACCAGCCACCAATGTAAGCTTCTACTTATATCTTTTCATATCATCCTTATAGCCAGCCTTTAAGGTAGGCTCTGCAATTGTACCCATTTCACAGATGAGGAACTGAGGCACAGAGCAGGCAATTCACTCAGCTGGCAAGTGGCAGATAGAGGACTCAGCCCTGGTGGAGTGACTCCACTACTGTTCCCTTAACCAGGAAATTACATGCGCATGAGGCTGCAGGTGTATTGTCTCATCCTGATGCTTGGGTTTGAAACCAGTGGCTGGAGTGGCTCTGTGGAGGCCACCTGGTTCCTGGTCATCTGTGACCCTAGAGACCTCAAAGAGTTCAAGGCATCCTCGTGTTGTCCCAAGAGTTTGTCCTGGCTGTAAGCCAGTCCTGTCCCAACCAGTCTTGTAAATGACAAAAGCATTGGTCTGAACCAGGGCATTGACCCGCTGTTAGGCACTCCATCCTTGTTAACTGGGGAACTGGAGGGATTGTTTTCTGTTGGCATGGCTGAGGGGCCTGGTGGTGGGAACCAGCATCCCTACCCCAAAACAGAGGGGCCCATCCTACCCCAAGCCTCAGGTCTGAGGCTTAAAGCTCTTGTCCCAGCAGCTCAGGGCCCAGGGAGGGAGGGAGAGGAAGTAGAGATCCAGCAGGAAATAATGACAGTAATAATTACTGTTTATTGAGCATTTACTCTGTGCTATGTCAGTATTATCTTGGTTTGGATTCCCCTAGAAGCAGACTCTGAGATAAGGATTTGAGGGCAAGTAATTTGCTTGAAAGGTGCTCCCACGTAGGGGAGAGGGAAATGAGACAGGTAAGGCAGCTGAGATGAGGTCACAGAGGTGGACAGGGGCTAGAGCACATAAGACCAGCAGAGAAACTCAGTGCTGGAGAGCCTCTGAAGCTTTGCAGCAGGGCTGTCATGACTTGATTTACATTTTAACAAGATCCCTCTGGCTACTGTGTGGTGCATGTCCTGTCGGGGGCCGGGTGGATGCGGGGTGACCAGGGAAAAGGCCACTGCAGTCATTCTGGATGGAGAGGGTGATGGTCAGTCTCTGAGTGTTGCCAGTGGATGGCTTCCAGGCAGTTCTGGAGGCAGAGCTATTTGGGTTGCTGAGGATTCGGTTGCAGGGTCGGGAAGGGGAGGTAGGTATAAGGCTAGTCGTGACTTTTTGTCCTGTACAACCTAGGGTAAGAACCTGGGCACTGGGGGCCCTGCAGTGTTGGGGCAGGAGATCTGGGACTCGACAGTGATGTGGAGCCCCAGGAGGCTCACCTGGATGGGGCCGGTTCTGAGTCTGCGTCACTGGGAAAGGAGACTCAGGACAACCTGGGTCCCCAGAGCTGGCATCTGTGTCTAGACATGCTGCACAGTGCTGGGTCCCCAGCCGGAGGGCCGACACCTCTCAGCTGTGTCCTGCCTCAGCAGGGGGAGAGCTCGGAACTGCAGCCAGACAGAGCCTGCAGGTAGGGAGATTGCTTACCTCCTACCTCGAGGAGCCAGAATCCACTGGGGCAGATTTAGGACTGCTGGTTCCTGGGGACTTCTCAGTAAAACCCAGAGCCTGATAAGAGGCCTGCTTGGGGCCTGAGGAAAGTAAAGGTGGGAAGGGGGTCACTGTCAAACCTAAGTGCCAAGGTCATTGCAGCTGGTAGGGTTAAAGAGGTTTTGCATTTGTAAATAGGTATGGAGAGATAGTCTATAGGAGTGACACGTAAGATATAACACGTAAGATGTCAGAGAAACGGGAGTTTGGACCTGTCAGCTTTGGTCAGATGAGGTTTCCTTGAGAAGCTGGGAAGGAGCGAGAGAAGAGAAGGGACCATGGGACAAGATGCAGGCCCTGGTCAGCTCTTGGTGGAGAATGTGGGTGGCGATCCTGCAGGACCTCGTTTCTTCCACGCCTCCTGGGTTAGCTCCACTGACTGCCACTCAAGTTGACAAGCATCAGTTTGTACTGCTAGTGTTGTCTTCACTCTAGTGAAAATAAGAAAATGGCTTTTCAGAAAGTTCCTCCAAAAGAAGTTGTTTAAAAAAAAAAAAATGAACCAGGGTAGTGTGCCACTGAGCACAATGCCCTCCCACCCCCACCCCCGGAGCCCTGGGTAGGACGACAGCGGCACAGGGTGGTCATGCCCCCTTCCCAGCCATCCTGCTGAGTTCATCAGGGCGTCCCTCTCCCACAGATGTGCCACCCTCACTACTTTTTACATATCCAAGTAATAAAGTTAAGAGCTAACACAAAGCACCGAACTAGCACTCAGGCTGTGTTTTAGCATCACATATGTAATCTTGCATTTAATCATCTGAACAACCCAGTGTGGTAGGTACTGCTACTATTGACACCATTGTACAGAGGAAACTGAGACACAGAGAGTCTAAGGAACCTGTCTAAGTTCATACAGCTAGTTAGGGGTAGAGCCAATATTTGAAAACATGGGCTCTAGACTCTCTGTTCTGAGCTACTCCACTGTATGGCACCTCATGTGCCAACTCACCTATCATTTGCTTCATACATATCTACATCAACCTAGTCCTAAGTAATAACATCCCTCAAATTCACAAGTTTGAATCGTTTGTTGTATTTTTTTTAATGTTCATTAAAATAAGTATTAACTATTAATATTTTCAAAAGTTAACCCATGTATCAACTGAAATCATCTTGTGTGTCCTCGTGTACAGCGCTTTCAGAAGTAGACTTAATTTACAATTTGCCTTTCTCTAAAAATGTTCTGACATGGTCTAACAAATCACATACAGTCTATCATGTAAGACGTAGAAAATCCGTGAGAAAATGAGAGGGAAGGGAAAACCAGAGGAGAAAGAAAAGAAACACCGGGATGAACAGATGAACACCTAAGGTGGACACAGCGGTGGCTCTGAGCTTCCTGGCCAGCACAGCAAGGAAGCATGCATTCAATTAAAAGAACACATGTTACTTGTTCATCTGATTAAAATCCAATTAACTTCTGTTTCTTGAACTTGGTTCTTAGAGTAATTTGTCTTGCGGCTTCTCTTAAAGAGGATACTGTTTGAGGTAGTGGAATTCTCTTTTTGAACAGGTTTGGAACTCAGCCTTTATCTGTTAAATATACTTGGCTCATGAATAAGTCAAATTTGAAGAAAGGGTTCTGGGCTAAGAGGAAAGTCGAAAGCCACGGCATTATCACCACCCTCACGTTGAAGTGGTGTTACAGTGGAGCTGCGTCTCACACAAGAGATTGGGCTCTAAAGGTAGCAAAAAGTGCAGGTGGTCAAAGCTACCCTTGGAAATCCCTCAAATGGCCGATTGAGTGCAGTATATAGGGCTTTATCTGGACAACCTGTCAGCAAGCCCGAGAGAGTTCGTCTCTCCTCCAGTGTGGGAAAAATTACCTCTTCTTGGTCAAGCCCTCAGTGAAGTAGTTGGCTTTGTTTACGGCCTGGGTTGTGGGGGGAAATTGTGTGTTTAAACACTGGCATTAAGCTGAGGGAACTGAGATGTTCACACCACAAGAGGCCCAAGGGACCCTAGGCTTCCTGAGAGGACAGTGGAGTCGCAAACCACCTTGCCCTCCTCCAGGCAATTCCAGAGGGTAGACTTGCCTGCATGCTTTAGTTTATTATCTATTGAGGCTTTTTTGGTACATACAAAATTAGACTTTTTATATCTTCCTAGTGAATTGAAACTTTTATCATTGTTAGTCTCTCTAGTAATGCTTTTTCTTTAGTAATGCATTTTGCCTTAAAGTCTACTTTGTTCGACACAGAGCTGTACTAGCTTTCTTTTGGTTAGTGTTTACATGGTATATCTTTTTTCATCCTTTTACTTTCAAACTCCTGCATCCTTGTATTAAGATTTGTCTCTTATAAGCAGCATGTAATTGGTTTTTATTTTTATCCTTTAACCATCTATGTGTTTTAATGACAGCATTTAGTCCATTTACATTTAATGTAATTGCTGATATATTTGAGTTTAAATCTGCCATCTTATTGTTTGCTTTTTATTTGTTCCTCCTGTTTTATGTTCCTCTTTCTCTCCTTTCTTGCCCTCTTTTGAACTGATTACTTTGTATTATTCCTTTTTTCCTCTCTATTAGCTTGTTAGTTATACATTCTATTATTATTCTTTTTGTCATTAGCAGAGATTACAACATGTATTCTTGACTTATTAGAGTCTACTTTAAATTAGCAAGCTTACCACTTCTCATTCAATGGAAAGATCTTACAACTCCGTAACTATATTTACTTCCCTCCCAACTGAAATGCTATTATTGTCATGCATTTTAATTCTCTCTAGATTTTAAACCCTGCTAGGCACTATTATAATTATTTTATAGTCAGTAGTAATTTGGATTTATCCACATTGTTAACCTTTCTGTGCCCTTCACTCCTGGCCGATTTCTAAATCATCCTGACTCTCAGACTGTAGCCCCTGAGTCTGTCACAGCTCTGCTCAGCTTCCCAGCCCTGCATCCGCCCTCATCAGAACCAGCAGCGCCTTGAGGGGAGATGCTGGGTGTACCTCCCTGGCTTTCCTTCTCCTCCTTGCTCTTGTCCCACTAATTCTTCCTAGCCCGGTTATCTCTCCATGCTTTCAAACAGATTTCTTTTTCAAGCGGATTTTTATAACATTTGGCCAAGGCTTTCTAGGGACCTGCTCTGGGGATGGGTTGATCTGAATTAGCTAGTGTGCCATTAGCAGAAACG